GGAACGGGATTCCGAGGGGGGAAAACACATGAGTAGAGAGATTGGCCAGGCATCCGAGCGGGGAGCAGTCCCTGTGCCAACAGGCATCGACGCCTTGCCGGCGCAACTTGGACTCAGCTCGAGCTGCGGCGGCTGGCGTCGACCTGCCTGCCGCGCTTACAGCCCCGCCAGTGGCTAAGTGCAGGTTCCCTTATAGCGGCGCGTGGGTGCAGTGCGAAGCTGCAAGGCCGTCGAGCACTCAGCAAACGAGAAGCAGCACCGCGCAACCGCGTCCCCAAAAACCTGCCGTGCTTCGGTCATGGCTAGGACGCCCCATTCAACAGAGTCCGCCGACCACTATGTAGGCCCCACACTCGCATACGCCCCGCGCGGGCATCCGAGGCTCAGTGCGCTTTGACACCACGGTGCGTGCTCGCACACGCCCCGCATGTGTCCCTCCATGCCATTGCCAATGCACGGCTTCTCCGCTCATCAGACACGCCGCCAGCGGACAGCGGCCGATATCATGAACGACAACAGGAAGGGCGGGGTCGTCGTCGCCCAGGCTCAGTGCGCTTTCGCATACCCAACTGAGCGGCACCCCCACTCAAAGAGCCGTGTTACGCGGGGGGCGCAGTAACGCTAGGTTTGGTGGAGCACATACGGTATGTGAGTGGATCAAGCAGCAGAGGCTTCAAATTCCATTGCAGCTGGTCAGCAAGATTTGAAAGGAATGTGGGAAGCTCTGCGATGGTGTGCCTCCAGGTGTGAGGAGCGGCGTGAGCCGAGCTCCGGAGCTGCGGCGCTCGCTGGTGGTGGTGACAAGTATCCGTTTGCCAGGCAGGCACGCACATACATACAGAACCACAATTTATTTCATGAATTTGCAGACTGTAGAGCAACGGCCTCATCACGGAACAGATCGGGAGATCTGGACTCGCAAAACGTGCTGCTTGCTACGAAGCATTGCCTTCAAGCACCGCTGCGTACGAAGCTGTAGACACGGTGCCTAGGTACGGGCAATCGTGCTTGGTGCAGTGCAGTATGGCTGTCCCCGACGCCGCGCACATGCGCCGCGCGATCGAGCTGTCGCGGCAGGCTGGGATCGTGGATAAGACCGGCAAGTGCTTTGGCGCAGTGGTTGTGGATGCGGGCGGCAACGTCATTGGCGAAGGGTGGGTAGAGTACCCGTCATTCTGGAAAGTCAGGGGACTAGCCGTCGCACGTTCACACAGCAACAGTCGACAATGCGTGCAGCGCGTGCGTGCATGGAGGCAGCACATCCACAGCGGATGCGATGTGCCGTACACCCGCAGCGGGTGTGACGTGCAACTTCTCAGGGGTTGTGCTTTGGCTAGGTACCGTCGCGAGGTCTCCTCCACAACCGAACAGGCGCACGGGCGTATATGCATCCCCCCCCCCCAATACTCTGCAACACCCTCCCTGACTTGATGCACCCCTGCTTCTTGCCCCCGCGCTCACCGCCCTCTCCTCACATGCCTGGACATGAAACACCAGATACAATCAGGTTAGGGGATACCTGCATGGTTGGGAAAAACCTGACGTAGATGCGCTCACCCCAGCACCACATGCGCAGAGGTTGTCCCTTCATACAACGGGTCAGAATAGCAAGTACAGCGAGCAGTAAGCCTCGTCCTGGTTGCAGCGCCAAACATGCTGCATGGGGCGTCAATCGGGCGTTGGTTCGTGCCCCTGTGCCCCGCAGGTGTTCAGCCAGAATGACCCGACCTGGCACGGGGAGATGCACGCCATCCGGGAAGCCGCCAAGAAGCTGGGTGAGCCGGCTGCTGGTGGCAGCCGCCCCAACAATTAGCAAGCTGGCTGGCTCAGAGCAGGGCAATGAGGCTGCCTCCACCATCCCTGCAGACTCTGTGTGTGATGAGTGGTATCGATGCAGCCCTCACAGCCATGATAAGGAGTTGCTCAATCATGTTTGACATTGATTTGCTGCAATCTGCAAGCTGTTGTAACATGCGTCGGCAAGCAACCCCTCACCCCATGTTGCAGGCTCACCCTCCCTGGCGGGGTGCACCATCTACTCATCCACGATGCCATGCCCAATGTGCACGGGTGAGCGCCACGGCGCCTGTGTGCACGCGCGCGCTCGCTCCACCAGCCGTTTTGCCTCGTGCGGGACAGTGCAAGGGGCCGTGCACACGTCCACGGCCGCAGCAGCCACACGTGCCATGGTGTCGGTTCATGCCGGCTGGTTGGCCTTACTCCCACCCTATCATTAGCGTCCGAGTGTGTCCCAGAAGCTGCGGCCCTGCTCACACTCTGACCCTCTCGCCGCTTCTCTGACGCACTCTTCACAACATAGGCGCCATCTACTGGGCGAAAATAAGCGCGTGCTACTATGGGGCTGAAAATGAAGATGTGGTGAGTTCACCTGGCTGGCGTTCGGCTGTCTGGTGATTGAATGCTTGGTGAACAGGCTGCTGCTGCTGCTACTGCTGCTGCTGCTGCTCCTGCTGCTGTTGCTGTTGCTCGCTGACAAGCTTGTGCTGTGGCCTGCAGGCAGGACATCTGCTCCTGCCCCTGACACGACCCAGGTTGCAGAGTGCACACAGCCACGGACCCTTCGCGCCGCGCCCAAATGGGACACGCACGCACACCCTCTTTTCTGCCAGTATTCACTGTCCTATTCACCTCACTCTTTGTATAACCATGCCGCACGCAGGTGGAATGCGGGGCTTTTGAAACAGGAGATGATTACACGCAGGTGTAGAGCCATGGCCTTGCGAGCGCCGGATGCGGTGAAATAGTGTTGGCCTGGCGGGATCAGTTACTGCTGACAGCATGTCAAAAGCGTCATTGTGGCCGGCCTTCCACACGTTTTTGGGTGATCCACGGCCGTTTACTCCCCCGACGGACGTATTCGCTGCAAGCCCCAGACTCTGCAAGTCCCGTCATCCCCTCCTCTTGACATCACCCCCAGCAGCCACGTCGTCGCCAGCCCTAAATCCTGACTGCCCCGAATCTCTTTGTACCCTCTCAGGAGGTGTTTTTCAACCGAGAGGACCGACTGGAGCCGCCCCTCCGCGCCCGCCTGCCCTTCCGCCCCTTCATGCGTCAGGAGGCGGTGGCGGTGCTGCAAGAATTCGCGCGGCTGCCTCCAGAGCAGCGGGGCGTCTACTGATGTGTGGGTATGTATGTGTGTACATATGTGTATATGTGTGTTTGTTTTGTGTGTTTGTATGTGTCTATGAGTGTGAATGTTGGAGATCCGGCGCCAGGCCCCACTGACTGTGGGCTGCCGGTCCGCGGTCGTGGTGCAGGGCGCGGGCTCGTTGGACGCATCTAGGGTCGCACCCCCCCCTCAACATGCGTTGTTTGGTTAGAAAAGGTGCACGCCTATCTGCCTTGGCTGGGTGCGATGTGCGACGGCCTCCTGCAGGTGCTGCTTAGGTGCCATTGGACAATGCGCCTGCAGGCGTGGCAATTCCCTTTTTTGATCTGACAGCTGGGTGGGCCTGTGCATCACCATTCCCATGTTGGTATTGTCCAGTGCGTGCATCGCTGTCATTCCAGCCGCCTCCCACTTCGACAACTCGCTCGTGCAGATTCAGTACACACAAAAAGGTTATTTGTGCAAGAAAATGGTGCTGTGCCTCAAGCAAAAACTTCAGAGCCACTAGCGCCGACTTACTCATGCTAATTTGTATGATGTGCATCCTTGTGATTCGCTGCCGGGCCCCGACGTGATGCCGAGATGGCCAAATCGATAACAGCCGGGATCTCGAATAAAAGTTCGAAAACAGGGACGCGGACCGGTCAAACATGCGTTGCGCTGCAAGCCGCGACGGTCCAAGGATGTGCGATCGCCTCAAGGTGATCTGGTCTCGGCCGCCTCGCCTCGTGAAGCGGGACGCCGCCAAACAGAGAGCGGCAACCCGACAGGCCACTTGAGGCATGCGGGATCCTTGCAGAGCCGATTAGGGCCGTTCTGTGCACAAGCCATTGTGTTTGCAGGTAATCACTGACGTTGAACGAAGCTGCAGGCAGGCGCAGATCTGCCCGCAAGCTGCAGGCAGATTGCGGTTTGAGGTCGTGAACACAGCATATGAAGGTGCCGCTTAGGGGTGTGCCCGTGATCGCGCTAAGCGTGCAGGGCTTAAGGATCACGGGAGCTGTGGACAGGCCCTCCCCTGTAAACCCTGAGGAGTGATGGTGGAGGCCCAAAGCAAGGGCGGCGCGGGGATTCTGCGACGCGCCCATTTCATCCACTAGGCGCCTGCACTAACACGCCCTTGCAAGGAGTGGATGAGTCGTCGTAATCGGACGGCTGTGCGTGGGAGGCGCAGCATTTGAAACACATCGAAAGCCCATGCCCATGGATCATGCCGTGTGCAGCTGACAACACCAACACCGTCGAAACTGGGCAGCAGTACTGCACTATGCGTAGGGTTCAGGAGTGTGTGAGGCGAAAGGTAGCCAGCGTGGCAGCGGACCTTCGAGGGCGCGGTTGGCCTTGTCACAAGGCATCACTTCGGTCAACAACAGCAGCCACCGCAGCTCGGCACCAACGACTCCCAGATCAAAGAAGCATGCCTCGCCCTCGGGTGCCGCATGGATCCTTTGAGAACGCCCGCACTCAAGCGCGGGCCGAGCTTGGCCCGACATCCAAAAATTCCACAGCCGCCGCCCGTGTTTGCACCCGCGGCCCGCGCCGCCCGCGCCTCCTCACGCCTGGGTGCGGCGCTGTGGCCCCCAGCCCGCCATCCGCCGCCCCGCCGCGGCCGCGGGTGAAGGGGACGGGGCCGCGTCCTTCTCGCCGGCGCCGGCGGGGCGGCCGCGGTCCTGCAGCGTCTTCTTGACGCAGTAGATGTTGGGAGAGTGGAGCCCTGTGGGCATCAACGCCTCGATGGCAGCCACATTGTGGAAAGGGCCCTTGAAGCTTATGGAGCTTATGTAATAGCCCAGGTCATTGATCAGCCTGTGGTTATTGGGGGTGAGGGATGGCCCCGGGTGGGTCAAAGGAGAGGGCCGTCGGTTGAGCGAGCCGATGCGCGCGCGGCGGCTGAGGGGAGGGGTTTAGCTGCTCAGGTCGTCTGGGGGCAGGCAGAGGGCGTCGGCTAACAGGCGGGAGCTTTGAAATCAAGGCAGAAGCGCGCAGCGCTGGCCCGCTCGCGTGTGCTGCCTTGTGGGAGGCGACCGATGAGCAGCAAACTCATGTGAGTGGATAGCCCATGACCTGCAGTAGCCCCTGGCCCTCTGCCTTGCGCATGCGCCCTCGCGATCGCTGGGGCCCCGTCCCTGTCCGGCCCCAGGCCGGGGGAGTGGCCTGGGGACATCCGCTGGCGCTCACTTGAGAAATGCTGCCTGGCCCTCTGCCTTGAGCAGTCCGTAATTGACCTCTGGAGTATGAAAAGAGGGGTTGGGTTTGAGCCGATAGGGTGTACGTAAAGGGGCGAAATAGCAGTCTTTGTGGGGAAGTGAGTGTGTGTGTGTGTGTGTGTGTGCGCGCATGTGTGTGCGTGTGCAAGTTTGTGTTTGTGTGTGCGCGTGTACATGGATTGCGCCCGCTGTTCAACGACAAAATCGGGATAGAGCACCCACAAAACCAGGGGTTGCCCTGAGCAGCGTAACGCCGCCTCCCAGTGGCCAAGGCTCACGCGTGCAGGCTGGTTGCGTGTGTTGGGCAAGAGCATGGAAAAGAGGGCCGCAGCAGGGGCCGCGCGCGCGCTCGGCTTTACAGAAGGCACGTCCTCACCGGTCATGATGTGCCATACGTTGTGCTTAGTCAGCAGGCCGTGCGCTCCCTTGAGCACTTCGCTCTCGTACCCCTCCACATCCATTTTCATGACCTTTTCAACGACCAACAAGATGAGGTGAGATGAGATAAAATGAGGTGAGGTGGGTTGAGATCAGATGAGACGATACAAAAAGAGACAAGATCAGAAAATATGAACGGCTTTAAGCCAAACGAGGTGAGGGCAGACAAGTTGAGATGGGGCAAGACGTGATAAGATGTGATGTGATGTGATGAGAATGGCGTGGCCCGCAAGTCGACACTTTGAAGGATTTTGCCTCCATTCATGGCATTGAGGCGCGCGCGTCTGCCTGGCGCCTCGCGCGGCCCGCCCCTGGGCGCAGCTCCTAATTCCTACGGCCCTGCGGATTGTTCGCTGCGTTGCGTCCCCCTTGCCCCGACTCCCCACCGCAAACCCAGCCCCCACCCCCACCCCCCACCCCACCTGGACGTCGTGATCGATGATTGAGTCGAGCCTCATTGTGGTGATGGAGCCACGAACCTGTGGCAAGGCAATACGAGGGGGGTTGAGGGGTTGGGTCGGGAAGGTGTGTGTGCGTGCACGTGTGTGTGTGTATGTGTGTGCATATGTGTTTGTTTCTGTGTGTGTGTGTGCGTGTGTGCGTGTGTGTTTGGGGGGATGCATGCCGTATTGCAGGCAGGGCGACGTGTTGCGTGCAAGGGGCTCCAAGAACAAGCTGTGTGCAAAGGCTCGCGCCAGTTGTGCAGGAGAGGGGCCCAAGGTGCAGCCACGTCGCGTGGGGCCATCGACGCTGCGGGCGCCGCGGCAGGCGGGGTGCCGCGCCCCTTAGCCCCCCGGCCCACCGCGGCGGTGATGTTGAACTCCGACTTGAACCAGGCAATGACCTGCTCCTCCGTCTGCAGATGATTTGCAGGATGGGGTTTGAGGAACCAATGAGATTGTGTGTTTCAATGGCTGTGCGAGACCCGCGCCGAGCGGAGATGCGGCAACTCAGCCGCGCTCAGGCCCAGCAAAGGGTTTGGGGGGAGGCGGTTGCGCCTCAGCGAGCTGCGGTTGACCGGATTATCACCTTTTCGCAGTCTGTGATCCCGTTGCCCCGGTTGCTCGTGTCGCTGTAAATTTTGCACTTCGAGGCCCTGCGCGGGGGGCGGCGGACCGGCGGCCGCGGGGCAGACGGGGCGCGGATCGGGCAGGGGCCGGCGGTCCGGGGCCGCGGCTGGAGGCGGGCGCGTAGCTTCTGCAGTGCGGCTGGTGCAGGGCCAGCAGCCGGGGTGCGGTCGCAGTAGCAGGCGCGGGATCGCGGGCTGAGCTCGGGCCGCCTATTACTATGGGCAACAAAACGTCACGCCCACCCCAGCTGTCCCGCCTAGGTTCAGGGGTTCCTATTTCGGCACCAAGCTGACAAACACGGGGCAAACTGCGATGAATACAACACTTCAGGTCGCTCACTTGGTGCTCAGGCCTGTGCCATACAGCGCGACACGGTCCATGAGCCAGGGGTTGGCGCAGAGGGACGCCCTCAGCAGGGCAATGTTGTTGGCCATAGCTGGGGGAAGGGGGGAAGTGGGGGGGGGCAAGCATTTGTAGAGGCGAGACAAAAACGGGGGGTCGCTTGGAGAGGTGAGTGCGAAGTATCGTGTGTGCGTGCATGTGTGTGTATGTGTTGTGTGTAATGTGTGTGTGTGTATGTGCGTGTATGAGTGAGTGTGTGTGTGTGTCTGTGTTCAGTTAGCATGCACTTGTTGAGGGCTGGACAGGCACTACTTCAAACCTGTCATGACAAATGTGTCTCATGCCTGCCACCGGAGGCCCCGCCCAGCCCTCCGCTCCGCCCCTGGGCAGTGTGGGCCGGCAAGCCTGCTGCTCGCACCGTACCCCCACCCGCCCACGTCCTGCCCCCCCTTGCGCGTGCTGCGCGACGCGTGGCAACGCTCACGTTCAAAGGCCGCGACGACCGCGCCCCTGGCTGCCGCGTTGAGCAGGAACGTCCCCACGTTGCCCCCAACGTCCGCCACAAACGGCGCCGCCGGTGGCTTCCATCTGTCTGGGTGAGCGAGGTCACCGGGTGACTGCGGCACTGGGGCGCCCATTGCATAGACCATCTCCTCCACGTCCTGCGAGCGAAGGAGAACATTTAAAAAAAACAGCCGAGTGGAAAGTGCGTGAGCGTGACGTGGCCAGTGTACGAGGCAGGTGGGCAGACGCAGGGGCGCTCCAAGCCGCCGAGCCCGCGTGCGGTCCCATGCCCATACTGCTATCTCGGCCAGGCCCAAGCTGGCACCGTTCGATTGGAGCGCGCCACGCCGCCGTCCCGCCTGATCGACTGCTGAGTATCAGGCTTTCTCAGACGATTTCGAGCTGGCCGGGCCGGGCAGGTCTCTGGAGAAGTAATTTTCCATGAAACCACTTGTACTATTCAATAGCACATAAGCAGAAAACGAGATGAAGAGCAACTGCAAGTGCCCTGGCAACCGCACGCTCATCTATATTGGTCCAGATCCCCCCTTGGTTGGCCTCGGACCAAAAACTTGCACCCAAAAACGCACCTTGGCCTCCCAATGGTGGACGCCGGCTAGCCAGCCGCTGACAATGTCATCGCCGGCATAAACGTATGCTGTCACGTTGGTCTTGTCAAGGGTCGTGTTGGTGGCACCCTCTGGCGGTGGAAGACGCGCACTGCGCATGTGTGTGTGTGTGTGTGTGTTGTGTGCGTTGCGCGTGTGTGTATGTCTGAAACGTCTTGCGTGTGGTGTGCATGGTGTGTGAAGTGTGTGCGTGAGTGCATGCGTGCGCATGCAATTGCAGCACGCGTGCGTTGATCCATGCTTGCACTTGAGTGGACGTCACCGTTGGGGGCACAGCGGGGGGCGCAGCCGGCTGGGCCCAACCATGCGCAGCGGCGTCCCACCCTGCAGCCCCAGCAGTCGCATCTGCTAACGCACACGCGTTTCGCGCACACGCCCGACCCCCAAAACGTGCGTCATCACCCCTGGCACCTGCAGTAAACCATCTGGTGCAATCGCACCAGAGCGCGGGCCTCCGCGCCGCTCAGCGGTGGGAAGCTGCCAAGCAGCTCCGCTGTGGTTAGGGTGTTGATGTTGGAGATCATGAACGGGAACAGCGGTGCCCGCTGCTGTGCTGCGCCATTGCTTTTCGAGTCGCTGCTGCTACTGCTGCTGTGATCGCTCCCACTACTGCTGCTGCTGCTGCTGCTGCTGCTGGTGCTGCTGATGCTGTCTGTGACGCTGCCGCCGCCACTGGAGCTGTTGCGATCAACGCCACCGACACTTTTGCTGAAGCCGCTGCCTTCACCCCTGCTGCCGTCCGCGCCAATTTTGCTGCCGCTTCCGTCGCTGGGGCTGCTGGAGGGGTGCGTGTGCGCGACAAACGCCTTGACGCCGCGTGTTCTTGCGATGCAGCGCTGCTCCTGCCGCACCAGCGCCACGGCCAGCACCAGGCACAGGGCTACGCATATGGTGGCTATAATGCGGCCTGAGAGAGTTTGATCGCAAGGGTCTGGCTGAGAGTGTTGGATGGAAGGGGTGTCAAAGGCTCAAGGGGCGGTGCAGGCATGGGCAGAGAGCAGCGTGAGCTGCTGCGGCGCCTTGTCGATCCGATTGCACGCCCACCGCCGCTGCACCTGCTCTGCCCTCTGCAGATGGGGCGGATGAAGTAGGCCTAGGGCCTCTCACAGGCCATGCCATCTTGCACCAGCTGGGCACGAGCCTGCCGTTGTGTCGAAGTCTGCAGGATACCGACGTGCGTGATCAACGGGTGCCTCCCGGTGCGAGCACCCGAACGTTTAAAAATCTTATACCGGGGCTGTATGCACTCTGTTTGACGGTCAGTTGCAGGGATACGTCCTAAAGCTGGCCGGGCCACTGCGGCGGACCAACACAAGCACTTGGTGCCACTGTCACACGCGCCTCTCCGCTGCCAGTTTCAGAGAGTGGTCCAAAGCTGCTGAAACTTCACGGACACTGACAGGATATAGGGTTGCTATTGATCAAGCTTCGTCGCAGCGGACGGCACGACCAAGCCTATCGGCGAGTGACACTGAGAGTGACGCAAGGATGACCAAGCCAACTGCAAACCCATTCCACTGAAAGAAGCACCATCCAATCGCCTGGATTTGGAAAGTATTACTATTGAAAGATTGACGTGGAAGCATTCGGATAGGCGACACACTAGGCTTGCACACACTGGTGCGACAACAATGGATACAAGGTCTGGTGGGGGCCTTGGGGATGTGCAGCTGATCGCCACGCCCACAGCGCGCAGGTGTGCGCCCCAGCGACGCAATTGAAGCCCTGGAGGGTGGTGCAGCCTCAGCAGGTGTGGGCAGCCACGGCCTCCAGCAGGGCAAGCGGCCTGCAAAGAGAACCCGCAGTCCAGGTCTGTCGGAGGATGCGCCCTTGCCGCCGCCGCTCCCATCCCGCCGCCGCCACGCTCCCAGCCGCACGGACCCCTGGCGTGGCGTCCCCCTCGCGCCGCCCAGCGATGCCTGGACGTGCCGCGCGCGTGTCCCCCTGCTGCGGCCGCGCGCCCCGCCACGGCCCGGGGCGCTCACACCAAAGCGGGACGGTCCTGACGGGAAGCCAGCCCCCCACATCTTGCAAACGTGCCAATCCGTTGCCCAGGTGCAGACAAATCCGGCACCTGCACCACTGTGCAGCTTGCAAGGGCGGCTGCGCAACCTCAACCAGGATCTGCACATCTCTACCCCTGCGCGCCGCCATGCAACCCTGAACGCGCCAGAGCCAGCTACGGCGGGCAGGGGACAGGCGGTGCAGGGCGAGGGCGAGTGACGCTCATGGGGTGACGTGGCCAGTACCCGGCTTGAGAAATTGAATGGGTTACACCGTGCCGCAATCACGGGTTGAGATGTGCAGGAGCGAATCAAGCTGCTGATGGAAGCCGCCAGCGAAAACGGTGGGTTCAGGGGTGAGACAGTCATGCAGGAAGCCAACTAAGGGAGGACTGAGGAGGGAATGGCGTTTGATTGACTGAAACGCACTGCTGCAGACGGTCAAGACAGGAATGGGCCGGCGGCATGTACAAAGCAACTGCAAAATTTCAAACATGTGTCATGCATCAACTAGATCGCCGCGCCGGCGCTGCCTCGGAGGCCTGCGGACGCAGCGCCGCCACAACAGCGCCCTCACAGTGCACCCCGCCCTGCCCCGCCCTCACTCTGGCGCCGCCTGCGCCAGCGGGCTCGCGGCAAACCCAAGCTGCACCCCCGCGCCCACGCGGTCCCCCGGCTGCGACGACAGCACCCAAACGTAATTCGCCTCGAACCGCCCCATCCGCGTCGGCAGAACGACACCAACGCCGGCAGCCCATCGACACGCAGCCCCCAGCTCCCCCAGCCCCCGCGCCGCCGCGTCGGCGAGCGCCGCCGCGCCGCCGCCGCGTGGCGGCGCGCTGCTGAGCACGAACCCGGGGTCCCGCCTCGGGGCGAGGGCGGTCAGGCTGCCGGCGTTGACAAATGCGTGAGCGCAGGCGCCCAGGTCGCCGAGGGGGCCCGGCAGGCGGGCGACCAGGGCAGCGTACAAAGAACCGAAGAGGTCCCCCCCGAGGGCGTCTTCCTGTCTCTCAGCGCCCAGGCTGCCGCCGCCGCCGCCGCTGGCGCTGCCGCCGCCGCGGCGCCGCTCTGCCGCGGGGCCGACGCCGCGCGGCGCGAAACCTCGGACGGAGTCGACGCCGCCGAGGAAGAAGCGGTCGCCGAGGAAGGAGGGCGGCCGCGCGGAGCCGCGGCCGAGGGCCGCCTCGAACGCGCCAGCGCCGGCGCCGGCGCCGACAGCGGTGTCGCTGGCGCCGCCACGGCCGGCGGCGGCGGCGGTGCCGCCGTCAAGAGGGTAGAGGATGCCTGGGTGAAGGGGGCGGTTTGGTATGAGTCAGGTCACGGATGCTCACCACCCTGGCCGTTCCCAGGCGCGGCAGCGCGACGCTCCCAGCTGCTACATAAAGGGGCCACAGGCGCGCCTGTCGCAGCCGGCGTCCCTCGGCCAAGATTTCTGCCCGCCATGCGACGGCCGCGCCGCGCAGAGACACCCGTCCCGACAGCGCCATAAGACCTGACCCCACGGACGCCGCAGTCTACGCCAGCCGGATGCCGCAAGGGACGCATTGACCGCAGTCAACACCAGCCGGCCGCCCAAAGGGATGCGTCGACCGCCAACTGATGCGCGAGCAGTAATCCCGGCGGCGTCGTCAACACCATGCCGCGCCTCCGGTTCGCCGCGCGCGTGCCCAAGCACCCACCCGCCCCAAGGGAGACGTTCAGGGCAACCGTCGGCGACAGCGGCGCCGCCCACGCGCAGTCAAGGCGCTGCCGCAGGAAGCGGTAGCCCGCCCCCGGGCAGAGGCCTCCAAGCTCTGACACCAGCTTGGCGCCCCAGCCCTGTAGCAAAAACGCAGGAACATGCAGGGACGGTATGCGTGCAGGTTTTAGGTTTGGGTTCGGTTCGAGTTGTTTATAGGGTTCCATTAGGTGAAGCTGCCGCGGCCGGCCCTGCGTGACACTGCGGACGTGTGTGGCGTGAACAGCGGGGGCCGGCTCGCACGCAGTCGTGCAGGCGGCGACCACGCGTCCTGGAACGCACACGGCTCGCGGCAGCAGCCGGAAGCTTGCCGAGCGGGGAGCGAACATGAGCATCCATGCGCAGCCGCTGGCAGACCCCACACACGCATGCCTGGACGCAAGCTTGGTGCGTGCTTGAGCGCAAGCACGCACGCACATGTCTACACACCCAAAAAGCACACACGTGCTTGCGCACACACACACACACACACACACACACATGTGCATACACACACACACTGACACACACACACGCACGTGCATACACACAAACTCACACACACACACACGCATGTGCATACACACACACACACACACGTGCATACACACTCATACACACACGCACCCCTCTCCCAAAGCCACCCACCTCCGTGTGCACCGCCCCGCTATCCCGCTCATCCACAAAGTACGTCCACCTCAGCGCGTCCGCCACAAAGTCCCCCCGCTGCGCCAGCACCGGCCGGCTGGCCGCGCCGCCGGCGTCGAGGCTGCGCCAGCCCCAGCTGTAAGAGACGCGAGATGAGCCGTCGGCGCTGCGGGCGGCGGCGGGGGAGGGGGG